TATATATACAGCAAGGAGCACTGACGATGATTCATTCGGAATCGAAATATGGCCTTATTTGCAGCATGAATTCAAAATAAGTTTATTGTGAATTTTAATAAACTAAACGTTCACCAAACAACTTTAGTGAGAAAAATCGAAAAAACGAACAACAAACATATTAACGCCAAACATTCGGTAGAATTTATAGAATATTGTAAATATATATATATATATATATATATATATATATATATATATTAGAGTGGTTCAAAAAAAATTTTTTTTTAATATTTAATTGCACACCCCCTATATTTTTTCCTTAGCTGAAAGTTAGCATGTGTGCAAAATTTCATTCAATTCTGACAATATTTAGAGGTTGCTCAATGACATTCAGTTTTTCACCATATTTAGCATATAAGCGGTCAGTGCTACAATTTTGTGTTTAATGTTTATTTTGCAGTAAAATGAACAACATTCTTGTGAAAATCATGTAAGATTTAACAGTTCTACAAATTTATACTCAAAATAACAAAATATTCAACACTAAACAGACAGTTCTCACAAGGTAAAGGCAACTTGATTATGCCAAACGAAAGTTCAGTACTGTTAATCTTTGATTGAGAAACTGAAATTAACTTGAGGCAATTAATGTACTCAGTTTATGTTTTTCTGTTAATCACTCATAGTATGTCAGACTCAAAACATAGCAGCAGCTGCTTGAGCACTGGCTAATGTGCGCTTAGAGGAGTCCGGAATATGTATTCGATTGTCCTCCACCACCTGTATCAGTTTTTGCAGTTCTGTTTCATTTTTGGTTATAGACTGGTTAAAATTTGTCATGAGTGCCACAGTGCGTTCTGCAGTGTCATTAACGACCTTAAGTGACTTCACAACATTGGCTACTTTTTGAAATAAAGGAAGATCATTCCATGAGTCTGGTTCAGTTTCACGCAAGATAGCAACATCCATTCCAAGTGATAACAATGTAGCACGAGATGTACCTGATACCAGATCATGCAGTGGTTTGCTTTTAACCTGTTCCAGTTCAGTTGCAGGATATTTGACACCTCGCACACTCCAGTCAGAATCTACTGCAGTCATTGATTCCACAATCAACTGCTTCTCAGCATTTGCAACCTTATTTGAGAACAATGACAGCCAAACCATTTCTGTACCGAGATACCACAGATGATTCTTCAACTTTTTTGTGGCAGCACTTGCTACATTCTTGTTGATTTCAGAGTATTGTTCAATTCTGCTCAGAAGTTGCAGGTCATTGACTGGTGCATCACTGGGTATTGGGCACAACATCCATGCTGGCACATATATATGGGTTGCAAATAGGCAGAATTCAGTTAAACTTTTTGTTTCAGTTGTTGTTAGCTTGAATTCATTGCGGAACAAATACATTTTGAGACAGTAGATCACTTTGGCCATCCATCTGGCCATGTGATATGCTCCAGGAACACGGAAATGGTACTTGCCATCAGTCTGCATTGGATAACCCAGCACTAAGAGACAGAGTTCAACCAATTCCTTGTAATCCTCTCGTGGGATGTATGAGCTGTCAGCTGAAAGAAAACATGTCAAAGATGGTACTATGTCAGACCGCATCATCTGTAGCAATGAGTGGTTCATCCTGTCATCATCAAGTGGCTTGTGGTTTGACTGATTTATATTTGGCCAGTAGGCTCGAAATCTTTCAAACATTCCAATGTTGGGGCCACGGCTTGGACCAAACAGAACTGTGAAAACTTCACCGATTATCAATTCATGTACATGATGACGACAAGCAAAGTGCAAAAGATTTCTATGGAGCAGTTTCTCCAGCAAAACACATGCTTCACTTGACGTCCCAGTATTGGCAGCAGTAGTGTCAAAGCACATGCCTATAATGTCTTCACTAACGTCCCATAATTTGAGCAACTGAAAAGTTGCATTGGCCTGTGCTTGTCCCGTGCTTGATGCAATTTTAACAATTCCTAAGATTTTCTCCACATTACAGCCAGTCACAACAACAGCCAGTCTATCAGTTCTGGAGTGTAGATCATCATTCATGATCTTCCCATCCCAGTGAACCAGAAGGGGGTTTCTGTCACGATCCTGAAATTGTTGACGAATACTGCTGTCAATGGTTGATCGATGTTGCTGTCGTTTACGATGAACTGTGGAACGTGACAGAGATGTATCCCTGATGTCTTGCCCACTAGCTTGTGCAATGGCTGCTGCTAATACTGTGAACTTTCTATCTGACAGGTTTATTCTATCCAGTGCTGAAGCAACATCTGGCGACGACAACATATCCTGCACAGTTCGTGTTTTTTTGCTGGCACTGCTTGACAGACTGTCTTCTACTTCACTGATCTGCTTTTTGTAGTACACTGGAATTTCAATTTCATAGTTGTCCTCTGTGTCCTGCTGTTCACTATCACTGTCATCAGAACTAGATAAATGTAGTGAGGTACTTTCTGTCATCCGCTCCTGCTCTCGCTCTTTTCTCTCTTCTTCTTTGCATTTACGTTGTTCTGTGCGCTCTTCTTTCTTGGTCAGGTCTTTATCAATGCCACTCATTTGCATTCGTTGACTGCCCCTCTGGTCTTCAAGAAATTCTATATCTTCCTGAATTCGGATGAGCTGCTTGGCGTGTTGGTGAGCAATATCAAACAGCATGTGCTCCTTTTCTTCAAATTCCTTCTCTCGTGCTCGTTGTGCTTCACTTTGTCTGTTTTTGTTCTTTTTTATTAGCTTGTAGTCATCAACTACCGACTTTACTTTTTCTACAACATGAGTATGGTAGGTTGTTGGTATTCTAGCCTTGTTCCACATGTCCATGACCTTATCTGACGACAATTTTGCACTTTCAGGCACAGTTTTCTTTTCTACTTGATGATAATAAAAAACATTCCCAGGACATCACCTGTTGTAGGCAATACATTTACTGGAAGTTCACTTTGTAACTGTCCAATCAGCCATATGTTAGTCATGCTGCGTGTTGTAAGAGCACCACAGTTTGAATTAGAAGCCATTTCATACGTAGTTAAATATGTACAGTACCGGTATTTCAAAATCACCTCAAATTACTAGTAAATCGACACAGTTAAATTATGCAGATATTTATCCTATTTTACTTTTTGCTGACAACAAATATGGTGACCATAGAATATTTAATAATAATAATGCATTTTAAAATATCTAATATCTAG